TCAATCAATCAATCAATCAATCAATCAATCAATCAATCAATCAATCAATCAATCAATCAATCAATCAATCAATCAATCAATCAATCAATCAATCAATCAATCAATCAATCAATCAATCAATCAATCAATCAATCAATCAATCAATCAATCAATCAATCAATCAATCAATCAATCAATCAATCAATCAATCAATCAATCAATCAATCAATCAATCAATCAATCAATCAATCAATCAATCAATCAATCAATCAATCAATCAATCAATCAATCAAAATAGCCATATTTGAGGGGTAAAGTTGAGTAGTTTGCATCTCTGGATATAGCTGTCGGTTGACTAGTATTAAATGATTTGCTACTTCATCTTACCTCACTCTCAACATTAAATTGACGTTTTGTGCTGAAAATCGCGCTTTGCTTCTGTGAACAGTGAAGCCCGCCTACTTTGATTTGATTGGCTATCTCAATTATTTTTGACATTGACGAGCGCTGTTAGACCGCTGAGCAGGCCAGGCAGAAAATGTCACTTTGAAACCTTTTTGTCATCCTAAAAAATAGGGATGTAACGATTCACTCAACTCCCGATTCGATTCACTATTTTGATTTCACGTTTTGATTTTCTCACAATTTCTTTTTTTTAACAAAATGAGATTGAAGACATTATACAGTAAATGAAAAGGTGTCATTTGATTAGGGTATTGCTGCACGTTTCTTTGTGAAATTGAAATTTTAAATCAAATAAGTTACACAAATAAAATAAATCTCTTCATATAAACAAACTAAGGCTTTGTCTGTGCTCTTTCCTTTTAACATTAGAGGCAACCACTGCATTTTAATCACGATCCAAACAAAGATGCTGCACACATGCAACATGAGCAGTTTTTAATCTAAATTAGACTTATAATTTCGAAATTTGAATCAAAAACAGATTGGTCTGACTTTAGTTTTGTGAAACTATACATAAAACCTGAAAGAAACGGCAGACGAGCTGAATGAGACGCAGATTCACTCTCTACCAGCAGGTGGCGCTCATGAACAGCAATGATACAGTGTTTCCTGGGTTACCGCTGTAAACAAAGCAGAGCTGTGCTTATGAACAGTCAGTTCCCCTCAGCGATACATTCATATAAACTCCTACTCCAATTGTATCGCGATTTGCTAAGCATCTCAACCGATTTGAATCGTCACATATTGTAATCAATTTTCAACCGGCTTGTGGTTCATCGTTACATCCCTACTAAAAACAGAGCGCTGCGTAATGGAGTGCAGCAGATCAGTGCACGAGTTTCAGATACTGGGGGGACAGATTGGCCATTTCTAATTATTTGGGGGGATATGGTGGTTACGGCCCTGACGCACATTAATAAAGCACACCTGCTGTTCAGGAGCATCGGATGTGAATGAGCGCACCTGTTGATCATGTGACTGACGGAGCTGAAGTGATGGCACATGTTCAGCGCGCTGACGTAGCTCACGTGAGGCAGCGTCAGGTAGAACTGGAGAGCCTGCTGCCGGTGACCTTTGACCTCTAGGGGCACGCTGATGGCCTGACCTTTCCTCTGCTCCACCTGTGCGAGTTCGGTCAGTAGAGCGGCGGTGTCGTCTGGACCGTTGCTGACCAGCAGCCGCACGCCGGCCTTCACCAGCGCCGCCAACGTCCCGTCGTAACAGCGGCTGCGCTGAAACACTCGCACCATCTCGCCTGAGAACAACATGCGCACACAGACATCACGTGATCAGAACGACATTCTCAGGAACATTCACACAATCCGAAGAAAGAAAGATGAAACTAGGGATGATTGATATTATCGGAACGTTATCGGAATTGACCGATAATGGCTTAAAATGTAAACATCGGCCACAATCCAAAAAAAAGGGCAAAACTAGGGATGCACGATATTATCGGAACGTTATCGGAATCGACCGATAATGGCTTAAAATGTAAACATCGGCCACAATCCAAAGAAAGAAAGATGAAACTAGGGATGCACGATGTTATCAGAATGTTACTGGAATCGACCGATAATGGCTTAAAATGTAAATATCGGCCACAATCCAAAGAAAGAAAGATTAAACTAGGGATGCACGATGTTATCAGAATGTTATTGGAATCGACCGATAATGGCTTAAAATGTAAATATCGGCCACAATCCAAAAAAAAAGGCAAAACTAGGGATGCACGATATTATCGGAACGTTATCGGAATCGACCGATAATGGCTTAAAATGTAAACATCGGCCACAATCCAAAAAAAAGGGCAAAACTAGGGATGCACGATATTATCGGAACGTTATCGGAATCGACCGATAATGGCTTAAAATGTAAACATCGGCCACAATCCAAAAAAAAGGGCAAAACTAGGGATGCACGATATTATCGGAACGTTATCGGAATCGACCGATAATGGCTTAAAATGTAAACATCGGCCACAATCCAAAGAAAGAAAGATGAAACTAGGGATGCACGATGTTATCAGAATGTTACTGGAATCGACCGATAATGGCTTAAAATGTAAATATCGGCCACAATCCAAAGAAAGAAAGATGAAACTAGGGATGCACGATGTTATCAGAATGTTACTGGAATCGACCGATAATGGCTTAAAATGTAAATATCGGCCACAATCCAAAGAAAGAAAGATTAAACTAGGGATGCACGATGTTATCAGAATGTTATTGGAATCGACCGATAATGGCTTAAAATGTAAATATCGGCCACAATCCAAAGAAAGAAAGATGAAACTAGGGATGCACGATGTTATTGGAACGTTTGGAATGGCTTAAAATGTAAACATCGGCCACAATCCCAAAAAAAAGGCAAGACTAGGGATGCACGATGTTATTGGAACGTTTGGAATGGCTTAAAATGTAAACATCGGCCACAATCCCAAAAAAAAGGCAAGACTAGGGATGCACGATGTTATTGGAACGTTTGGAATGGCTTAAAATGTAAACATCGGCCACAATCCCAAAAAAAAGGCAAGACTAGGGATGCACGATGTTATTGGAACGTTTGGAATGGCTTAAAATGTAAACATCGGCCACAATCCCAAAAAAAAGGCAAGACTAGGGATGCACGATGTTATTGGAACGTTTGGAATGGCTTAAAATGTAAACATCGGCCACAATCCCAAAAAAAAGGCAAGACTAGGGATGCACGATGTTATTGGAACGTTTGGAATGGCTTAAAATGTAAACATCGGCCACAATCCCAAAAAAAAGGCAAGACTAGGGATGCACGATGTTATTGGAACGTTTGGAATGGCTTAAAATGTAAACATCGGCCACAATCCCAAAAAAAAGGCAAGACTAGGGATGCACGATGTTATTGGAACGTTTGGAATGGCTTAAAATGTAAACATCGGCCACAATCCCAAAAAAAAGGCAAGACTAGGGATGCACGATGTTATTGGAACGTTTGGAATGGCTTAAAATGTAAACATCGGCCACAATCCCAAAAAAAAGGCAAGACTAGGGATGCACGATGTTATTGGAACGTTTGGAATGGCTTAAAATGTAAACATCGGCCACAATCCCAAAAAAAAGGCAAGACTAGGGATGCACGATGTTATTGGAACGTTTGGAATGGCTTAAAATGTAAACATCGGCCACAATCCCAAAAAAAAGGCAAGACTAGGGATGCACGATGTTATTGGAACGTTTGGAATGGCTTAAAATGTAAACATCGGCCACAATCCCAAAAAAAAGGCAAGACTAGGGATGCACGATGTTATTGGAACGTTTGGAATGGCTTAAAATGTAAACATCGGCCACAATCCCAAAAAAAAGGCAAGACTAGGGATGCACGATGTTATTGGAACGTTTGGAATGGCTTAAAATGTAAACATCGGCCACAATCCGAAGAAAGAAAGATGAAACTAGGGATGCACGATGTTATTGGAACGTTTGGAATGGCTTAAAATGTAAACATCGGCATCGGCCCATGAAAAATTATGCCAATATGTCCTGCCGATAAGATGAATAAACTACATGTGCTCAGGGTGTGCTAGCAATACAATCATGTCAGCAGTGCGGTCATTCTTGAAGCAAACTTTTGTCAGAATGGTGATTAGATTCACTGTTTTGGATCGCCATATTTAATCTGAGAAAGCAATTAGGCAAACACAGAATGACGCGTCTGGTGTGTGATAGAGTCAACAGATGGCCTATTCCTAACCCTAACCCTAATGCCCATCCGGTAAGGCCTTTTATTTACTTGGGGGCGCTGTTGGCCTACTTGTATTAAAATGAAAGTAAAATACACAAATAACATTAAGATTGGGTTCGATTAAATAAAGCAGTAATTTATGTCAAAGTCATTAGTATGTTTTGATTTAAAGGTCAGAAGCTATAGCTTACATGAATAAAATCACAAACACGACACTTGTAAATTAAATTATTTTTATATATAAAGATTTATTCATTAACGTGTGATATATTTTTTCCAAGCAGATTATGAAAAGATTTTCAGAATTTTTACAACTCTTTTGCTTTAGACCATCTACATCTAAATGTTAAATCTTCAATTAAAACGTTACCTGCATCTGCCTGAAGAAAAAAAAATGCAGTAATTGGTTTATAGTTTATTTATAGTTATTTTCAAAGCTTTCAATGTACTCTTATTATAAAATAACTTTTTTTTTATTCTAGCAATTAAGTTTTTGTTAAAAACTAACCAAAATTTAAAAAATAATTAGTTTATAATCTCTGCAGAGGAGAGACTTGGTGTTTTTTCCAAACAAAGGAAATATATCGGTATATTGGAACGTTTGGAATGGCTTAAAATGTAAACATCGGCATCGGCCCATGAAAAATTATGCCAATATGTCCTGCCGATAAGATGAATAAACTACATGTGCTCAGGGTGTGCTAGCAATACAATCATGTCAGCAGTGCGGTCATTCTTGAAGCAAACTTTTGTCAGAATGGTGATTAGATTCACTGTTTTGGATCGCCATATTTAATCTGAGAAAGCAATTAGGCAAACACAGAATGACGCGTCTGGTGTGTGATAGAGTCAACAGATGGCCTATTCCTAACCCTAACCCTAATGCCCATCCGGTAAGGCCTTTTATTTACTTGGGGGCGCTGTTGGCCTACTTGTATTAAAATGAAAGTAAAATACACAAATAACATTAAGATTGGGTTCGATTAAATAAAGCAGTAATTTATGTCAAAGTCATTAGTATGTTTTGATTTAAAGGTCAGAAGCTATAGCTTACATGAATAAAATCACAAACACGACACTTGTAAATTAAATTATTTTTATATATAAAGATTTATTCATTAACGTGTGATATATTTTTTCCAAGCAGATTATGAAAAGATTTTCAGAAATTTTACAACTCTTTTGCTGTAGACCATCTACATCTAAATGTTAAAATTTCAATTAAAACGTTACCTGCATCTGCCTGAAGAAAAAAAAATGCAGTAATTGGTTTATAGTTTATTTATAGTTATTTTCAAAGCTTTCAATGTACTCTTATTATAAAATAACTTTTTTTTTATTCTAGCAATTAAGTTTTTGTTAAAAACTAACCAAAATTTAAAAAATAATTAGTTTATAATCTCTGCAGAGGAGAGACTTGGTGTTTTTTCCAAACAAAGGAAATATATCGGTATCGGCCAAAATGAGTTGAAAAATATCGGTATATCGGATGTGCATTAAATATATATTATTAGCCTAAATAAGCTAATGAAATATACAATTACTGTAACTGTGAAAGGTTATGTAAGCTGGCTAACTTACTTTTACAACTTCCCTTACAAATATCAACCATAGCCTATGGTATTAAAATTAATTAATTAAATACATTTATTATACTGTATAAAAACAAAAAAATGGTTACTATAGTTGAACCATGCACAAATTAAACATGGATTTACTACACTAACCATAGTATTTGTACAACTGTGGTTATACAAATGGTAATCAATACAGCAAAAAAAGTTTTTTAATTTTGTTGTGGTATGTACTTGCGTGTTTCTTTTTTTCTGTTGTGGGGATTTGCAGCACGTGTTGTCAAACTGATGAAGATGTTTTCTTAATTTGCTGGTGCTTTTTCTATTTGCATGTGCTTTCTGAAGTTGCAGTGCGTTGAGCTCTCTCGGCCACCGTACTTTTGGCTTGTAAACGCTGCTTGATCTGTGCAGATTTCTCTCCTGATTCAGACCAGAACACTTTTTCACTGGAAGAAGCCTTATTATGGACTCGTATTTTAGTTAAAATCATCTTAATGTATTTGTTTCAGCTTTTGTCTTCTCCAGAAAAAAGGCACACGTCGCCCGAGAGAAACCTGACATTTCACTGTTATGACATTTTGATTAAAACAAGGTAAAAAAAAACAAAACATGCATGGATGAAACTTTCACAATAAGATCAAAAACATGCATTTAGAAAATAGATATTGAATTTATTTCATCCTTTAAAGCAGGGGTGCCCAACCCTGCTCCTGGCCATCGACTGTCCTGCAAAGTTCAGCTCCAACCCTAATCAAACACACCTGAAGCAACTAATTAGGGTCTTTAGGATCACTTAAAAATTAAAGGCAGGTGTGTTTGATTAGAGTTGGAGCTGAACTTTGCAGGACAGTCAATCGCCAGGAGCAGGGTTGGGCACCCCTGCTTTAAAGGATAAGCCCACTTCCAGAATAAAAATTTCCTGGATTTTTCTCCATATAGTGGACTTCAATGGTGGCCAATCATTTAAAGTCTAAAATGCAGTTTCAATGCAGCATCAAAGAGCTCTACATGATCCCAGCCGAGGAATAAGGGCCTTATCTTTCGAAACGATCGGTCATTTTCTGAAAAAAAAAATAAATCTAAATTTTAACCTCAAATGCTGGGCTTGCTCTAGCTTTGTTTTTCTCAAAAAACTATTTCTTTGCGACTGAAGAAAGAAAGACATGAACATCTTGGTTGATATAGGGGTGAGTAAATTATCAGGAACTTTTTATTCTGGAAGTGGACTTATCCTTTAAGTGCTTCTGATGGTGTAAACATGTTCTCACCAGGTTTGGCGCGGTCTCTCTCGATGATCAGACACACGCGCTCGAACGCCGCCTGCAGCCCCTGCATTCTGTCCTGCAGCCGTCTGCGGTTCTGGACGCTGGCGAGCTCGGACTCGCTCTGCCGCTCCACTGCCATGCGGTTGCTCACGATGAAGTCTGAGCTGATCAGAGAGCAGACGTGAACCTGCAGGCCGTGTCGCAGACGCAGACGGGACACGACCTCTGACCCCCCGCTGATGCAGCGGCTGTCCACTAGCACTCTCAGAGGAGCGTCTGCGGCCGGCGGGATCTGCGTCTGCGCAGTCACTGCAGTCCCCTGCAGACGCGAACACAACACACATCAGACACCTGAGATCAGCTCATGACACGAGGAGCGTTTCAACCATGCAAATCAGACGGTTCATCACGATACAAACTGGGGTTTAAAAGAATTAATATTCACTCTTATTACTGATTTAACTGCACTGGCTAGGGCTGGACGATATGGCCAAAAATTCATATCTCTGTATTTTTTTGGCTGATTTGCGATATACGGTCGTATATATCTCGGTATTTTTGTATTCCGCTACAATAAAAAAAATAAATAAATATGTTCAACAAAACAATACATATTAAAGGCTATGAAAACAAAGTGAATGTAACCATGTAGGCATATATTATGTGCAAAAAAGGGTCAAAATCACATTTCATTCTAACATTGCAATCTAAAAACAAAAATAAGGCTTTTAAAGCAGAAGTTAAATTCACTAAACTAAAAATGAAAATAAATTAGAACAAAAGCACAGACTCGATTACCCAATAACATTCACTTTACCGTCAGTGCTATCATAAAAATACACTTACTAGTTGGTTTAAAATTCTACAAATGTCACATTATTGTCCAACTACACATATTTCAGCAAAATATATATTTTATAGAATTATTGTGCTTGGTTAACTGAAGTCTGTGAAGTTTAGCGGAGAATCCCAAAGCAGAAGGCTCATGCACTCCTGACAGAAAAATGGAAATATTTCCATGACTTTCTAACATTTACAGACGCAGAATAATACCGGTGAAATGTAAGTTCTGCATTCAGGAAGACAGCACATCTCAAACACATTAAACAGCGCGAGTAACGTCTCTGTCAGCTGCACACGAGCTGCTTTAAACGATTCCAAACTATAACTATACGATATGGATACATAGCTGTGATGATATATTTGAAAAATATTTAAATTTTTAATTAGATCACAAATGCAACCAAAATAAAACAAAGGAATCGTTCACATTCTGTCATCATTTACTCTCCCTCAAGTTGTTCCAAACCTGTATTTGGAGTTTCTTCTGTTGAACATAGAAGAAGATATTTTGAAAAATGTTGGGAACCAAACAGTTGACGGTACCCATTGACTTTCACAATAAGGAAAAAAAATACTATGGAAGTCAATGGCTACCGTCAACTGTTTGGTTTCATTTTTGGGTGAACGATCACTTTATCATTTAAATGGAACTCTCTGAAAACTGCAAATCCTGTGTCCCATTTGTGACATTAACGAGAAAAAAAGCACTTTAGTTTTCTTAAATAATATCATCATCAAGCATCTGATGAAGCTCATCATTGGTTTGTGAAACATACAAATGTCAAGGTCTTTCAGTCTCCTCTAAAATGTAAACACAACAAAATGAGGTTCTCCAGTTGTGGAAAAAATACATAAAAAAAATCGATACATAAATACATAAAGGTATATACTGTATAAAGATATAATAAAGATATGAAATATTTGACGACAGCTTGATGATGCAGATGTGGCTAATAAAAGTGTCAAAATGGCATCTTAAAAATATATATTAATATTTTTTACGTATTGCATCAACACATCATATCATTAGACACAGGGCTGGGCAATTTTATATTATTTCTAAACACATATGATATATTTTGTATGTGGATATGATATGTTTAAGACAAGTTTGTACAATTTTTGCGTTCATGTTTTCATCTGTTCTGCAAAGATATTTAAGAAGTGAATTTGTTTTACATTCAAAGCAGTCATAAGCAGCACAGGTATATTTGTAGCAATAGCCAACAATACATTGTATGGGTCACAATTATACATTTCTCTTTTATGACAAAAATCATTAGGATATTAAGTAAAGATCATGTTCCATGAAGATATTTAGTAAGTTTCCTACCGTAAATATATCAAAACTTAATGTTTGATTAGTAATATGCATTGCTAAGAACTTCATTTGGACAACTTTAAAGATGATTTTCTCAATATTTAGATTTTTTTGCACCCTCAGATTCCAGATTTTCAAATATTGTCCTATCCTAACAAACCATACATCAATGGAAAGCTTATTTATTCAGCTTTCACGTGATGTATAAATCTCAATTTCACAAAATTGACCCTTATGACTGGTTTTGTGCTCCAGGGTCACATATGTGCTGCACTTGGAAAATAACTTCCTTTTTTTTCATAAATATATGAAAGAGGAAGTTACTTGACTCATGTTGCCCTGCCCTAATTAGGTTACAGCTCTAATTGAAACACACTGATCTGGGAACATAGCTGCTGTGAGCTCATGTGATTCTCACCTGCTTCTCCGGGAGGAAGTCGAGCTCGTCTGACAGCGCCGCCTGATCGCTGAGTCTCTGCCGCTTCCTGTCGTCTCGATCCGTCGGTCCGGAGGCGCTTTGGAGACGCTGCGGGTCTGTAAACACAGAGCCTGTCTGCTCTTCCTCCTCCTCACTGGAGTCCTGGACCCGGATGATCCGCGAGCGTTTGCTCTGCCCGTTCCTCTCTGACTGGACTCCTCTGATCTGGACTCTGCGGCGCGTGGCGTACTGTTTCCTCCCGTCGACGTACGAGTCTTCATGGATCACCTCCACAGGCTCTTCATCACCGCCACTCTCACCCTCCTCATCCTCACTCCCATGAACCACAAAGCTGTCCTCGCCGTACGTCTCGTCCTGTTCTGGGATCTGAAGCACCGGCAGCACAAACACGGAGTCTCCATTAAAACTGACTCAATAGCTATGCTTCCATCCATCTATTGTTATGCGCATATAAAAATGTTGAATGTAAACGCCAAGATGTGCATCAATTCTAAAAATGCACATAAAAAAAACTCTGAAAGCAGTGACAGCATTTATTGTGTTTCGTCTGCTCGCTCTGAGGCGCAAATTATTATATTCAGTGGCTTCTCCTACTTTTCTTAGTGATATTTAGTGCCAGTTTATCAGGAAGTGACGGTTTTGTTCTCTGACTCGTTGGATGGAAACGGTGCTTTATTCGCAGATGTCTTATGCGATGTTTTTGCGCAGAAGTTAAATTTGAATCTTTGGATGGAAGCATAGCTAATGACAAACCAAAACAAGTTGTCATGATGTGTTTTCAACAGCTGATGTTTGAGAGTCTCAATATCTTTAATACAGCAGCTCACCTGTGAGAAGATATCCACGCTATGTTTGGGTTTATACGTCATTCGGTCCCGGTTCTGCACCGCTGGACTCCTCACAGACTTCAGATAGAACGCCTGCATCTCAGAGTCTGACCATGAGAAGACGACACATAGAAATTAAAATAAATCTCATTTAATATTTAATCTGAGAAGCACATTTATTATAGGGAGAGATTAAATACATTCAAATGTTTGGGGTCGGTCAGATTTTTTAATGTTTTTTTTTTTAATGCTCACCAAAGCTGCATTTATTTGATAAAAAATTCAGTAAAAAAGTGAAATATTACAATGTATAACAGCTGTTTTCTCTGTGAATCTCTGTTAAACTGTAATGTATGTCTGTGATGCGCAGCTGTATTTTCAGCATCATTCCTCCAGTCTTCAGTGTCACATGATCTTCAGAAATCAGTATAATATGCTGATCTGCTGCTCCAGAAACATTTCTGATTATTATCAATGTTGAACACAGTCGTGCTGCACAATATTTTTGTGGAAACCGTGATGCATTTTATTTTTCAGGATTCACAGCTGAATAGAAAGTTCAAAAGAACAACATTTATTTGAAATTGAAATGTAACATTATAAATGTTTTTATTGCACTTTTGATCAGTTTAATGCGTCCTTGCTGAATATCGTCTGAGCGGCGGTGTTTGTGGCAGTGGAGCTTCAGATGGAGAAGCAGTGAATCTCACCGTTCAGACCCTGAGAGCATTGAGTCGTGTTCACCACAAACCCCTGCAGCGAGTGGTTATGTTCATCTCCTTCATCTTCATCGGAGGAAACATCTTCATCTTCAGAGAGCTCGGCCTCCTCATCCAGAAACTGCCGGCCCTCGCGACGGACCTTCTAGAAGACACAAGACGATAATCTAACACCTGACGCTCTGTCCGTATGATTTGATCATGTGACGTATTTGCATTTGAAAGCGCTCTATAAATAACTGTGACTTGACTTAACTTGACGTACATGAGGCTTCCTGACGTGACGCGGCTCTACAGCTCTGGGCTGATGAAGGGAGACGTCCTGAAAATCATCATCTGACAGCAGATCACCATCACTGTCCTCAGACTGAAGAATAGAAAGAGAGTAAATTAATTGATGGCTAAAGCACAGCGAACACATGCAGTGTGAGCAGCCGTACCGTGTTTAACGCAGCCGCACATTTCCGACGAGCTTGAACGGGAGAATCAACGTCACTGCAGATCTTTGACTGCTGCAGGAACACACACACACACACACACACACACACACACACACGTCACTTCCTGGGAAACTGGTGCAAAGTATCAATAATAAAATAAGAAGCTGCTGTTGTTGTTTTCCCGACATAATAAATAACGAAGAGCATGCAGATGAATAGAAATAAACACTAGTCATGCTTCCATCCACCTATTTTTATGCGCATTTTGGAATATCACATAAAAAAAAAACGGTGGATGGAAACGCCAAGATGTGCACAAATTGTAAAAAATGTGCATAAAAAAAACGTACGCACACAATTGAGTATGATAAACTTTTTATCCGATAAGAAAAAATGCGCATAAACTATAC